ACACACACACACACACACACACACACACACACACACACACACACACAGGAAGTCTCTGCAACAATAATGCCTCGCAGTCTGATTACCACAACAATATGCTCACATACAATACCCACAGTGCTGATGTGTCATACATAGCAGTCCAATCAAGAAGGTAGGGGACATAATAACAACTATAATATCATTGCTCGGTGGAAACTGACTCTTCGTGTGACACACACACACACACACACACACACACACACACACACACACACACACACACACCAGGGTTCGCTATGGACCAGCAGCTGGCAGAGTTTCAGTATCTTGCTACAGGACATTTTAGCATACTAGATGGTTGCTGACACAGGATTCAAACCATTTTTTGCAGCTGAAGGACAGAGTCTTTAACCGCTACTCCACACTGCTACATCAATGCTGCTGGTGGGGTAAAATTTGAACCAAATGCTTACATAGTTAAAGGCCTGACCGCCGGAAAAACGTCCGAAACAGTTCAAATCATAACAGTACAAATTCAAGCACTACTGCTAATTCATAAGCCAGGCTTTGTTGTTATGTCCTGTAAAGTTACAATTTTGACAAGCCTTTCAAAAACCACACACTAGTCTACCTGGAAGAGGGTTGTTAAGCGTCCAGCTTCCATGGTGGCGGGACTTGAAACAGCATGCCATTGGGAAGCAGGAAGCCTTCAAATGGACTGTCCTGTATCCCAATAAAAAAAGGCCTGAAAGACAAGTTGTAGAGAGCTGTTTGAAACTACAGCAAAGAGGCTCCGGGTTCAAGGGACATGTCCGCACCGTGGAAATCCAGCTTATCTTGGCAAGGTAGAAATCGGAGGATTCAGACCAGCTGCCATAACATCCAGATTAAGCATTGCTCAAGGCAGCTTGCGATCCAGAACTGAGGTTCTCACACAGCGGACTGCTCCGTCAGAGGAGCCTCTGACACAGTGGCTCAAGCTGAAGCCAGTGAAGCAGGGTAAGAGCTGCCTGTGCCAGGCCCGCACACTCCACAGCACTGCAGAGATGACGATCGCAGTGGACTCAGCCCATGCAGCAGGCATCTATTTGAAAGAGACGACTGACTTTGCTCATTAGCCGGGGATGCCCGATTATAAAATGTGTCAATCCACCGACACAGGAGAAAAAGTACGGTACATCCAATTCGGTTATCGCATTCAAGAGAGCTGTGGATCCACTCAGAAGGATTCTTCACAGATACAGAGGGAAACTCTCCCGACATGTCGTAGTTTCAGCTCTAGTGAGGAGAGGTCTGGTGTGTGGTGGCACTCCAGCTGTGTGTGACTGTGAGAGTGGGAGTAAAGGGTACAAAAGAGCTACAAAGAGAGAAAAAGTACAGGGGTTCTGGAGGGGGGGGGGGGCAGCCTGGAAACACAGGGAGGAAACAGCACTCCACCCTGATTCTGTGACTGAGAACAAAGACAACCTCTTCCCCTCAAACTCAACAACACAGCCCGCTCATGGAAACACGGCGCTGAAACGTGCAACACATTGAAACTAATTCATATTCTGACCGTTAAACGTCTTGATGATACAAAACCCATTTCCATTCAGAACAAGGCCAGAAACAGAACTTAAGTAGTCATGCTCTGTAATCAGGAGCTGTGCCAAGATAAGGAACCAGTCAGGAAACATGGGGGTGTGTGACACCGTGTGTGTGTGTGTGTTCCTCTGACGTACTCCATCCTAGAGCCACACCTACCACTCTCTGAAACATCTCCCAGAGAGGCCAGATTTCCCTCTAACCTCATGATTCAATGAGTCATGGCAGGCCTGGTCAGGTGAGCATGTGGTTAAAGGAGATTGTTGTTTTAAAAAGGACCCGGCCTTTTAGCCAATCCGCTAGCAAAAGGCATCCTGATCACTTACATAAGACACCACCTTCCACGGGGCGCAATGGTTTAGGAAATACCTCCAACCTCATTATAACACTTGCCAGGTCACATAATACATTTTAATCTACTTAACTGACGCCACAAAAAGAGGTTATAATAACTGCGATTTCTTCTTATGTGCCCTGAAACCATTCAACCATTTAAAACCAAATAGCATAGTAAGAGTATATCGAATGAAGTTTGTTGTTGCTGTTTAAGATAAGCAATGTTTTCATCTGTCCTACAAAATCACTACTTTCTACTTAACCCACGGTCAAGATCTATAATTAAAGATGAATTCTGTCCGTAGGTTTTACTCTGTAATATAAAAAAGTACAATAATCAAAAGGGGAAAAATTGAGAATCAATCCAAAATTATGTAAAATCTCTCAGAATCAGCTACAATCTCTATTTCCAATAATAGAAAATAAGTATTTTCAATATCTAAATTTACAGAGAAAATACCTTTCTTGTGCGCCGTAACATAAGAAAATAAGTGCGCAACACATGAGTGTGTAAAAACACAGCTGAGATTCATCCACATGATCCCGGTTATTTAACATTCCTTGTGGTGCTGAAAGTGAAGGAGGGGGCGGAGAGAAAGGAGTCTGTGCACACTTGATTATACAATCTCCAACCCTTATCTCCCCTCTACGCTTTAATTCATTGAAAAACTCATTTCATGCCGTGTTTCTTGCTGCTGAGGAACGCACGACTGTGTCAAAATACACACAGAGTGCATGAGTGAGTCCAGAACCTCACCGCCATTGTTGTGTTGTTGTGGGTCCTGAGCCGGGGTCTCCACACGAAGGCTCTGTCCCATGATCCAGCCCCTAAGGGGCCCCTACCTGTCCTGCACCCAGAAATGTGCACACTACACCGGACAGCCGCACCTGCCTTCCTCCTTCAACAAAGTCCCCTGGTCTCTTCTACCTCAGGTCTTTTCTGTGTTTCCCTCGTCTATCCGTCCTCTATGCCTTTCAGTTCAGTCCCCCCCCGTCCGTCCGTCTGTCCGTCCCTCCTGCAATCTCCTTAGGACCTTCCCTCCCTCCAGGAGTTTGCCTCCCTCCCTCCCTTGCTCACTGACCCTCCCTCCTTGGCTCGCAGCACAGGTCAACATTCACTGAAAGATGCCTACCATTCCTGGGAGAAAGACAAGTTGTGTTTTCAATTTAGCGTGTGGTATGTGGTACAATGTGTGCTTCCAGTAATGCACGTCCAGTGCAATGTATGCTAAGTGGTGCAGCGGGTCTCAAGAGAACAAGGACTTTTAACACTGATCCAGAAACAGAAGAGCGAGACTCAAAACCTCAGACCACATTGTGTGCTTTGAAAACAATCCTCTGCCTCACATGTTGGTGTTAGTATTTTCTTGCCTTGCTGGCGCTGAGATGACAATGAGAACAGGAGCTAGAGTTAGACAGAGTCTGTATAAGCCATTCCTAAATGAGTGACGCATCTAACCCGACAAGCAAAAAGCTTAAAGTTAGTCTGGACTTGAAGGATGGAGCTGAAGATGAATCAACGCCCTCAATCAGTAGAAAAGACATGACTTTTTTGGGACATGGGAATGATGGATCTCAAGTCGATCTGACCGTTGTTGCTGCTGTTGTTTCCATATCCAGCATGAATTGAACTCTATTATTAAGCTAAGAATACTGTTTTTTAGAACCGACACAGGGTGTTTATCATGCCGCTCACCCCCCAGACACCATTTTATGCACATCTCCAAGTCTCTTATCACAATTTGAACAGTCTTGGGAGGTATTAGCATGACTTTGAAACATGTTTGCCAAGGAGAGCTGTCCTGTTTGGGGCTAGAAGAGAGTGAGAGAGAGTGAGAGAGAGAGAGAGAGAAAAAGAGACAGCTTTCTCTAAACTAGAAGAAAGGAGGGAGCGCAGACTGGACCCCTGAATTAGAGCTTTGATTCCTTTTGAGGTTTGTGTCTTAGGTCTGACTGCTCCTCAGAGGAATCCAGAGCATTGAGCTGCGTCATTATGCCTCCATAGATCAGAGTTTTCTGAGCGTTTGGCGGCATCTCAAGCTGTTTCTAAAGATGGAGAGCTAGTGTGTTCGACGGCGTTCCTTTTCTCTCCCTGTGCCCCAAATACAGCCTCCACACCGGGCCGGCTTCCAGGGAGAGCTGAGCCAATCCGCATGAGCCCAGAACCTGACCTGGATAACAGACTGGGCCAGGCTACTTCAGTAGGCACACAGACTGAGGCAGGTACACACACACACACACACACACACACACACACACACACACACACACACACACACACACACACACACACACACACACACACACACAGTATGGAGCTATGAAGTTATGGGTCACTGCTGCGAGTCTCATTTATGATGGATAATTTGTATTTTTTTTCAAACATTTTAACATATGCTTCATCATTTTCTGTAAGGACATGGTTTATTATCGTTAGTATACTCTCGTGTCTGAACGATAAATTTGAAGCTACCGCCAGCAGCTATTGAGCTTAGCTTAGCTTAGCACAAAGACTAGAAACAGGGGGAAACAGCTAGCCTGGCTCTGTCCAAAGGTAACAAACTCCACCAGGAAGTGCACGCCTGTAAAACAACAAGCTGTCATTTTGTATTGTTTTTTTTTTATTAAACTGATTAAATAAATCACATATAGTTATAATAACCATATTACCCCAAGTGTGTAACTATTGCTTTAATAGAAACGCAACACTAATAACACACCTGTAGATGTTTTTCAGTCTTGTAGTGCTGTTATTATGAAGAAGCCACAGGAAGTGATAGTCACGAGGGAAGGTTTAGGCTATGAACATTTGGGCTTTTTAACTGCCTGTTTATTTTTACAAAAGGGAACTGGTGAACTGAAGACCTGCAGGTCACGGTTAAACCGATTTAACAATGAATCACACGGACTTATGCCAACCAGGGAGTAGTCCCAGAGAAGCCAAGTTTTGGGAGGGGAAACTGATCCTCAATCAGGCCCCAAGTTTGAGATGTTTGGCGGAGGAGCTCATAAAACGTACAGAGACTAGACAGACCCCATAAACAGTGGACGTATAGTTGAGTGGATCCACAGCGTTAACACCGCACTTAACAAACCACAACGGGCAACTTGGTACTCACCACGATTTTCCATTACAGAGTTTGAGGCACACCGGTCAACGGCTCCTGAAAAACAACAGTTGGAGCATCAACAGCAGGTTGAGAAGTGAGCTGAGACACACTAGTTAAACCAGTGCAGCAGCAACTCAGTGTTTCCTCAAATATGTTTGCAAGTGATGCTCCAAAAAACATCAACACTGTGGTCTTGGAATCATGAGATATTTGGCCTTAAATGATTTCAATTAAAATTCAAAATAAGCCATAATTAATCTTTTCAGTATAAAATTATCTGAAGCATCGAACTTAAAGTGATCTGGCAAAGATGAACCCAATGATCCCCGACGACTTTCATGCCAAATTTAAAATCAAACCATGTGTAGTAACTTCTACTCAGCTGAAATAAATCACATAAATACAGTAAAGTATAAATACAGTATTCCTATCATAGATGTATCACTAGATTATACTTTAATATACTTGTATTTATTGCTTATAGAAATGACTGGTACAGCGTTTACCATTTTAGATATAATGTGTATTTTTACCATTGACAGTGTGTATAGCAGCTGAAATGTTTATTACACATAAAGAAATTCTCCAAAACGTAACAGCTGTGGTTATTCATCGTTCAATAGGATGCATGTGGCATTCATTATAACTGACCTTAGTATCATTCATTTGTGTGAATATATATATATATATATATATAAATAAATAAATAAATAAATAAATGTGTAGACATACACTATAGAAAGTCATGGGTGGGACGGGGTGGTTGAGGTCCTCAGCAGCAGTGTACCAGCATCTGTTCAGGTCTCCAGCATGCTTCAGATGGCAGCTCTACCCATCTTCACCCCTCTGATGAAAGAAAAACAAAAAGGATGAGATCACAGTCAGTCTTAAAAGTGTGATCTTCATTTCGATAGTATGTTGATAGAGCACAATGCTGCGTGAAAAGGTCTAAAAGCCTACGGCGTGGAGATCGAGCTTCAACCAGAAGACGCAACAAAATAATCCACATTCCCTCGTACGTATTTGAGAGCGTGTGCACTCGGAGGAAGCGTGAAGCAGACGAAACAACGAAGACACAACATAAAGCTGCAGCGGGACAATACATCTGAGAACACACACACAGTTTGGTAGAGCTTGTAGTAGATGGACTACGGCAGACTCCGGTCAGCTAAAAAAAGACAACGATGCTACAGTCACGCTCAGAAGTGGATGACTGAAGTGTGAAATGATATGCGTTACGTCACGCTGATGGTGTTAAAGTCTGGTGGGAGAACGCTTCCCTGGCTCTCGTTTCAAACTAGTCACAGGGAAAAAGTCAAAACACTCAATAATGTAATTAAAACACGAGTGCATCACTTCACAACCACAACGTATCCCGTTTAAGTATCTGAAGTGGGCAATTTACGTATCGCAAAAAAAACACTTTGCCATTGATTGTTATAGTTACCGACTGAGCTGGCAAAGCAGATACCTAACAAGTAGTGTTTCTTCATTTGAGTATAAAAGAAACACAAAGCAGACTGATGGAGCCGCGGGGCAGAGAGCAGCAGAGCGGGGGAACAGTCAGCTGTGCTTTCACTCAGAGAGGAGGCCGACAGAAGCTGCTTTCAGTACAACTTAAAACTGGAGTACAAAAGCTTCTCAGAACAGAAAATGAGAAAATGAGCAAACTCTACTATCTTGCACCTACTGGACCTGTTGCATATATTTATTGAGGATGGAAATATCAACATCTGCTCTCGTCAGTTCCCAGAGAAAAGAGGATGAGACATGACTGCTAGGATTGTAGCTTTAACATCCAAGTTATTTTAAGGCATCACCTCGGGCTCTGAGGAACTGAGATTCCCATTTTACACTATTTAGACTTTACAGAACCGATTGATCGTTTAAACAAAAAAAAAACCTTCACAGCATCATAACACACACAAGTTGACCGTTCTTGGCAATAAAACGTCTTTTTGGGCGGTCGAGAAAAACATGCATGGACATCTGCTTTGCACGAGAAACCAAAAATGTAAATGACACAAGAAAAAAAGAGATGCCGTTTATAACTACCCACAAAACTCCTCCAGTTCCTCTCTCAACAGCACTGATGGATCTCAATGCAAAGTAATCCTTCTGGTGGTCTACCGGGCCTCCGGGTTACAGCTTACATTTCGGCGAATTACTGGTCTAACTAAAATGCAGCATTCTCGTCTTGCTGGCAAACATCGTTTTCGGCGATTGGCCAGATAAGAGCAACAGCAGCTTCGGACTCTGTGACGGCGTCCAGGCCACAGGAGGCCCTAAGACAAGACTATTAATGTTACCGAGGATCAATGGTTTGCCATGACGTAGAGCGGCATCTGTCCAAGGCACATGTGTGACTGGCGGATAGACATGTAAGCTTAGAAATGGTGCACCTATACACATATTTACTGTGTCATAGCATTCTTCTCTGTTCCTCTTCCAGACCCATTTACCGGCAGGGTCAAAGATCAACTTCCCTCTCAAAAGAAGAAGCCCGAGTAACGACATTTAGACATCAAACTGGCCAATAATCCTGCCTGCTGGACAATAAAGTGCATCTTATCGTCTAAAATGGGATTTAAAGCACCAAAGTTTAAACCGTACAGTCGTTCCAAACAGAACGGAGAAGC